GAGTTGGCGGTGTCATGAGTCAACGGGATGGGGATCAGGTTGGCTTCAGCGAAGGGGACCCTCGCGTATTCAGCTGCGCAGCCTCTTGTCAGCGAACCTCTCTTTGGCATGCCCAGGATGCATATGGTGCAGGCCTATTCGTACCTTGCAGACCGCCTAGACCCATCTCACTATTCCCGAAGCCGAAGTATTCCTTCGACCTCGGATCCATCTCCAGATGATCCTCAGACACGGTGTCGGGGATGATGACATAGTCCCCAACGGCGAAGGAGGACACGGCATCGCCGATCTCCGAGATGTAGCCGACGGCCTCGTGGCCCATGGCCCACGGCACCGCACCGCCCATGTAGCCGCGGTAGATGTGCAAGTCGGATCCGCATACGGCCGCGGTGGTCACCCGCACAACGACATCCGTCTCTTTCAGGATGGCTGGCTTGGCGACATCTTGAACCATCATTTCGAAAGGCGTGCCATGGTAAACAACTGCGCGCATGGTCGCGGCTGGCCAGGAAAGATTGAGTGACATTGCTAGGTGTCAAAGAGCGTCGATGCTCAAAATAGTTGTGTGTATGAGGCGATGATGCGATGCTATGGCATGTGTGACGACGGTCTGATGCGATTCTTGGTCCCCATTCACAAGAGGTTTGAGACTTTGAGACATGGCGAGAGCCATAGTTATACGCGCATATGTCGCCAAACGATGCAGGCTTTCTTCTACTAACACAATTGATCGACTACGTTGGCACATGTTGTTGAAGCACTCGTAGCCTAGCCAGTTGGTGTAGCAAGTAGCTCGAGCAACAATTGTTGAAGAAGCAACAGGGTATGCGATGTGCCTCGCATGCGTCGAAATAGACGCTCCAGCCGATACGACTGTCCTCAATTGTGGAGCCACGGCTGCCGTATTCCGACATGCACATCAGCATCCCAAATGCGACGCTCAAAGGCGATCATCTCCACTCTGTCGAGATGGGCCCAGAGCCCTTTCTGGCCCAGAGCCCTTTCTGGCCTAGAGCCCTTTCTGGCCTCAATCGGCAGCAACAGACGACACGGCCCCTGCATGGTACCACCAGGGATGATAACGACCCACACCTGAAAGTCAAAAGCGAATCTGGATTCACGGAGGCAACAACAGTGGAAACATCAGAGCAGCTTTTCGCCGTTTCCAACAGGGCTTGAGGTTATAGACCGGCGCCACAAAGCGTCAGCCAGCCTGATGCAAGCCAAATCTGCTGCTTTGCAGTGGTCGAAGGGATAGTCGGGTGTAAAGGCTACCGTGATACAGGTTCCTTGAGGAGGCCGCCAGGGAAAACCTCGCCTCAGCTTTCGGCTCTCCGAGCCAAGCGTGCCCCGCCCTTCACCAGACCTAGTCATTCAAATACGGCGCATGTCGCAGTGCCACTTCCGTCCGAAGAAGCATTTATCAACTAGACCCACAGATACTATGTGACATTGATAGGCGCCGAAAATCACCCTTTGTTACGCGTCTTGACTCAGTTGCACGTACTCAACTCCCGGAGCCATGCCCTGCGTTTGGCAAACACACGCATCCATGTCCTCGCATGTCGCTTGAGAACCTCCCGTGCCGTACAGACCCGTCTCCGATTCTCGTCTTGCCTTCGCTCGGTCAGCGACGGGACCCACAGGGCCCAGCAGCAGTT